CTTGCATGGTTTCTGCTGAGAAATCAGACCTTATTCTTACTGGCTGTCCTTTGTAGGTAACTTTTTGTTTTTCCCGTGCTGCTTTCAGGATTCTGTCTTTGTCTTTGGTTTTGATGACTTTGATGATGATGTGTCTTGGTGATTTTATCTTGGGGTCTATCCTGTTTGGGGTTCGTTGGACTTCCTGAATGGATATATTCTCATCTTTCATCATTTCAGGGAAGTTCTCCTCCAGCAATTCTTGGACAATCTTCTCAGTGGCTTTGTTTTTCTCTTCCTGTTCTGGAATTCCAATGATATGTAAGTTATTCCTTTTGATGGTATCCCACATGAACCTTAAGCTTTCTTCATTTTGTTTTGATTTTTTTTCTGATTGATCCTTTTCCAAAGTATTCAGGTATTTTTCTTCCATCTCATTAATTCTGTCTTCCATCTCATCAATTCTTCTCCTTTGCCCTTCTAATGTGTCATCTATTTCTGACAATTTAGTATTAATCTTTTGGATTTCTATCTGTAGATTTAGAATAATTTTTAATTTAATTTGTCATTTTGTTCTTGCATTTTCTTCCAAAATTCTTGTAAGGTTTTTCATGTGTTTTCTTTGGTCTGTCTCTCAATGCTTTGAAGATACGTAAAGATAATTCTTTTGAATTCCTTATAAGAGAGTTCCATTGCTGCTTCTTCCTCAGGGATGTGTTCTGGGTCTGAATCCTGCTCCCTTGTTTCTACCACTTTATCCTGCTTCTTTGTGTGGACTGTGAAGGTCTGTTGTTTCTGAGGCGTCGTGGCATTGTTGTATTAAGATCTCTGTTAACTGTTTGTGAGGAGCAGCCCAGGGTGATTCAGGCTCTTGTTGGTGGTTTTTTATCATTGGCCCATTGGTGGAGAAGGAGGAAGTGGCTCTCATTCAGTAAGTGAAGACGTAGGAGGTATGGGTGTAGTTGTATCTTATGAGGACTGTTGTCTCCCACTCAGACACAAATTACAATTGAATAACCATCAAAAAATTAAAAGCCCACGGACGAAAAACACACCATGTAATCACACAGGAACAGTAACTTAAAAAAGAAAAAAGGGAAAAAAAGAAGAAAAAACAA